TCGATATTGCTCTGTTCTTCCTGGAGATATTCCAGAAGAAGAAGATTCTGTTGTAAGCCCGACAGCAGGGTGAGTAGCATTAACAGCAACGGCGCCATTGTTGTTGTGATAATGGTCGCGCATGCGTGTTTAGAGGCGACGCTATGACGCATGTGTGTAAAAAAGATATGCGGTTAGAGCGTAAAGATGGAAACGCCAAAACGGCGTTTCGAAATCTTCCCGCTCTGAAGCCTGAATAAAAAAAAGATCGTTTAAAGACCCCCGAAACGCGGGCTTCGTGTGGATGAGAGGCTGGTTTGGTGAAAAATTTGTGCGTTTAGGCCAGGGTTCGTCTTCGTGTGGACGGGGCCTTAGTATGAGTGTATTTGCAATAAAAAAAAAAAAATCTTATTAACAAAACGGAGAACTGTTCTTTGTCTTTTTTGGTGTTCCTATTTAGTTTGTATTGCAGTGTGTGTTTATATGTCGTTGTCCTGCTTCATGTGTGACTGTGCATGTCTCTCCAGGTCTTCTCTAACTGTAGCTGTGTCAGTGTGGCTGGTAACTTTACAGCCGCTACAGGTCAGTGCCTGAATAAGGACGACTGCGACAGGATGTTCCCATACTTCCTAGCTCTCTCTGTCATCACTTCCTTCATCATCTCGCTTGGTGGGACTCCAGGCTACATGTTTCTCATCAGGTCAGACTCAAATCTATAATCTGATGGCAAAAAAAAATGTGTAATTACTAATCTTTGAGGACCTTCAGACATCCAGATGTTTAACCTGAAAAGCTGCAAAATGACACAGTTGGTAGTATGGTTGCCTTGCAGTAATAAAAGTCTTCAGGTCAAATCCCAACTTAATTTTTTTAATGGGTTTTCTATTTGATTTGAAGGCTGAAGATTCTTGCTTTTTAAAAACAATTCCATTCTAATAAAACTGCATTTGTTTAATTTTAAACTAATGACACATATTTTTCTTGCCAATAAAACAGAGAAAAATAAAGGAATAATACAGCTGTGGTGAAAATGTATTTAATTCAATTAGTGTGTTATACTGTATTAAGCAAAACATACAGAGTCAATGACGTGATAAAGTTAAATCACAAAATGTGCGGGGATATGAAATATTAATATATTAACAATATTAACTTTTAACATTATTACTGAATCCTGTAGAGACTGACCCATCCATGCTTATTTAGATTTTTTTTAAACTGCTATTTCCCTTAATGACACAATTATAACAATAGTTACCCAGGCCTCAATTTAAACAAGACAGACACAATAAAAATAAATAAAACAAAATTGATAGCTAATGTTGGAAGAGGAAATGTTTGAGCTGCAGATGATCTCAAGGCATGGCTGCTGAATGCACTAATGAATTGACAAATGCGTGCACATATTGTTCTGTGCCGATACCAAAAAAAAGGCTAATATCAAGCATCTGGTGTATTGGTCTACCTCCATTGTGGAGACTGGGAATCCAGGTCCTGGTTTTATAACCCAGTCATTATTAGAGCTGGTCACAGCATATAAGTATTAGGTCATTTTATGCATTTAATTGTTGCTGTCTGATATTTTTTCCTGTATTCACATCATAGCATAATAAGGATAGATGCAGTTTAGCTTTAGTTCAATAAAGTAAAATGACACACTGGAAGCTTTTTAATCTTGAAAATTATTTTTATCAAAGTTTGATTTTGTTTTTCATTTCTACTCCAAAGATCTCATATAAACACATCAGAAACACAAATATGTGAGAACCCCAAATTATTTGTTCAGTTAAAGCAAAATCAGTTTTTCACACAAAAGATAAAATTGTCAAGTAAAAAAATTGCAAAAACCTTCTTTAGATTCAGTCGGTAAATAAAAGATAACAGCTATTATTGTGGCAAAGCATTCATGTTTCACATTAAATTATAAAATCTAATAGTAAATAGGATTAAAGGAAATGTCCGGTCAGCCTAAGACTAATACCTACATTTGCAGTGATTTAATGAGTTTAGCATTAATCAGCAAAAAAAATAAAAACAATAATTTTCGTTGCAATCACAGAGTTCGGGACCGGCTATTTTTGCCGAAATATAGTAACACCTCACTCCTGACATCTTCCGGCAGTGATGTCACTAAGCGGTAACCCGAGCGCCATTCTCCCCGCTTTATAAGCAAAATCAATTGGAACTATGAGACACATCTGCAATCAACAATAATTATACCGGTGGCAGTAGTGTTCTTTGACAAACATGGATGTCTCAGATAAAGCACAGTAAAAATGAAACTCACTCTTAATTAAAACACTTATTTATTGAACAGTATGTAATAAATTCATATTTTAATTACTTTCAGAAGTTTGAATTCTGAATATTACTGGACTTCTCTTTTAAAAGCAATAACTGAACTATCATGGCAGAAATTGTATTTTTCTGTGTTGTACCGGATGTTGTTCATTACTTAAACCTAAGTAGGCAATGGAGAAGGTGTGTAACTGGCCAGGATGAGACTGGCTCATTCACAGAGAGGAAACTGAAGAAACTTGAGCTCCTCCATGTGGCCAGTTATTAGAATTCAGATAGAAAATGTTATCTGAATAGGTATCTGAGGCCTGAACAATGTTATGGAGAGCAAATTTACTCCTGGAGCGTCTCAGTATGTCCATTCAGAAACATGTTAATATAAAGTACTTCTCGACAGCTCCATCCAGAAGCTATTCTATGGATGTAAAAACAGAAATATAGACCATGTTTTTACAAAGGAAAGGTAGCCCAGTCATTCCCGGTTTCGCCATCATTCTGCAGGTCCTCCCAAAGTTAGTTTGGTATTTTTTGGGGGGCGTGCCGTCCACCACGGTGTTTGTGCAGATGTACTATTTCAGCTTTTTTTTCCCCAAACATGGGTCCATGTCTTGTTCAATGTGACACAGCCTTTCAGACCTAAGCCATGATTTATGGGAGAGAAGAGTTTTTTTCACTTTAAACCAGCCGTATTCATTCAGTGTTTCTCTGACATGAATGATTTTAAACCGGCTTCTTCTGATTTCTTTCCCGCATTGCATTGTGTTAATACACCTTGCCAAATCCTGTTACTGAGGTGCTAATATTTGCAGATGGGCACTGCTGTCCCTCTTTAATCCTTTTAGTTGGTGCACTTAGTTTTTAAATCAGTGCATCTTTAAGATTTTTCTTTTAATAAATGGAAACTGAGCCGAGTTTAGTTAAAAACTTAGTGGAAATCATATCTTTTTTATGTTCTAAAATCTAAAACTTCGAAAGGAGTGGGTCTGTATTTAAGTTTGTCAGCTGGAAATGGACTTTATCTCTGGTTTTAAATATAAAACGCAGCACTTGTGTGTGTCAGATTGTCAGCGTTAGTTGAGCTTAGAAACTCCTGTGGAGCATTATAGTCTGTTGCCTTATTTGCCTTTTAAGCCTTTTTGTAATGGCAATCATATCAAATATACTTTGAAATGTAGGTGAGAGATTGGCATTTTATGTTAACTCACTTATTTTTTAGACTTAAAAATTTAAGCTAAAAAGTTAAACTTAAAAATGTATTTGAAAGTCTACTACTAACAAAATAATGTTATCTTTTTTAATCTCTGTTCAATTCAAACTGGCTGTAGAACAGCTAGACCCATCTTTTGATTATCTTAGATTATTGTTTTTTATTGTTATTTTAAAGGTGAATAGTGTGAATTATTATTTCTAGTTAGGTTGAACCAAAGATTATTTATGTTTAATATCATGTTAGTGAAATGTGTACCGCCTACACTGCAAAAAATTTAATTATAAATGAGTCATTTTCTTCTTACAATAAGTGCATTTTTTCTTGAATTGAGGAAACTGGAGAGAAACTTTGCCAATGGAACAAGACAATTTTCATTTAAAATAAGAAAAAACGGTGGCCTTGCCTTATTTCAAGTGTATATTATCTAATTATCTTATTTTAAGAGTAAAAATTCTAATTTCATTGGCAGATCATCGTATTTACCTGCTCAAATGAATGGTAAATACACTTAATTTAAGACATTTTTGCTCATTTCTAGATGGTTTTTGCAGTGTAAATCACTTTACAGTTAAATGAATAAAAAATGTGATTAATAACAATATATTTAACACATTCTTTATTTGGCTTTTGTTTTTACTTTTTAGAAAGATTTTAAATAAATTATCTAGAGTATTTGTAAAATAAAATTAATGACATATTGATAAAACTCTGGCAAAAAGGTGGCAGCATAGTATATTTGATATATAACAGCGAAGATTATACATTCCCTTTGGTAGTTAATAGATAGAATAGTAAATCTCAAACTCATCCAGGCTTATGTGTTCTGGGAGCTGCTGCATAAAACATGTTTTTTCCACAGTAAATATTCAAACATATGTATTTTTCATTTATACAGGTGCATAAAACCACAACTAAAATCTTTGGCGCTTGGTTTTCATGCTTTGGCAACACGTACACTTGGTAAGTCTACCTTGAAGCTCATCTGATGGTGGTCAAGTGTCTCGCTTTGGAATAAAAATGCCTCTTTTTAAAAGCCTACTAGAGACATTTTCATTCATGCTATTAAACCAATGGATTTTATTCAGATTAATGGTGATTTCAACTATTCTGAGCAGTTCTGTACTGGTTAAATGGGAGTCACCTCTAACCTTCATTTTTTGCCTTCTGGTTCTACAGCAGGGATCCCAGCACCCATCTACTTTGGAGCAATCATAGACACCACATGCCTCAAATGGGGTCAGAAACGATGTGGAGGAGTTGGAGCCTGCAGAATTTATAATACCACCGCCTACAGGTAGTGATTAGACTTTTGCAAATGAATAAATCAATTAAATTATATGAGTAAAAACTACAATATTCAACTTCACAGTTCAATATCCATGGTGGTAACTGGTTTAAAGTCATTCACATCTTTTTGGTCATACAATAAAGTCTTTTAGAACAACTAAAATGTTGCTGATGCTGCCTTGCATTTTACCATATTAAGTCGTCACTATTTGGTATTTCTTTGTTAATACAGAATAGACATTTTTACCACTGACAGAGGAAGTTAGTAACAGGAAGACAAAAAGATAGTGAGTGAACATAAAAAACAATTAGCTGCTTTCAGAAACTTTTAATTATAAAACAACAGAAATGACAACGGTTTTATGAGCTGAAAGCAGTTCCAAACAAAAATTGTTTTGAGGTAGGCCTATATATATATTTATATTATATATATACATTTCTGTTCCAAAAAAAAAGTTTTACTTTCATTTAGGAAAGATTTGTGAGAACCATTCTCTCAAAAACAATTAGTATAGAGTCAAGGCAGTTGTGTTGTTAGAAGGCATTTAGCAAAACCTGTAGATAATCTGTAGATAATCTGCATAAAAATTAAACTGGAGGTTGCGGTTGGCTATGACTGAACTGAACTCAATGGAAACATATACTGTTAAAAAAATACAGGTCTGAGGAATGAGGAGGAAAGCCATTGATCATCACATGGAATGTCTGTCAACAAGGGACTTAAACCACTGCTCCACCTGATGGGACAAATGTAACATGAGGACTAAATGATCCAGAATACCCAAGGCTGCTATGACATTCAGCATCACCAAGTTTATGCACACTTGAAACCAAGCATTTATGTTCAGTGTTTAAAATGACCCACAACACCTTTTTCCCCCCAGAGTTTGTTATTAAATTAGGCCAAACTTCTCCTATTCAGGTGATTTGGGATTATAATCCTCATGTCTAGTGGATAAAGGCAAAAGTTTCTTTGAAGTTAGAGATAAACATACATTTTCTTAGTATGTGGTATAATTGCTTTTATGTTATATGCTATTTTTTAATGCGGTTATTTTTCTTTTGATATTAAATGTATAGTGGAGGATTTCAAGAAGTTTTGAAAAGACCCACCCCCTCTCCTTAAAAAAAAAATGCATATGCACATCCCTGTACCCGCTTCCGAGAGGGAACGCCTATTAAACGTGTGTTAGAGCGTGCACGCTCTGTTCAAAAATTGCTGTTTGCGTCACTTATACAAGCTTACTTTCCTAAAGAAGATTTGAAATTTTCAATGGTAAGGAAAAATAAGGGACGAGCACTTAGGAGCCCTTACGTAAACATATCACAAGAATCATTGACAATTGGGAGGACCACTTATTGTGATGATTCACCCGGAAAAATAACATCCTCCACTTTACCTTTAAGAAAAATTAATAAAAATCAACCGCAAAGCTCTTTTTGTATTCCAGATTTCCCACAGACTCATAATGTTTCCTTCCCTTTTTACAATTTAGCAAAACACTCATCTCTTCACTTTCTTCCCTTTTAGGATAGCTTATCTGGGCCTGACTCTGAGCCTAAGGACTATCTCATTCATTATTTGCATCCCGGGCTTCATCCTGCTCAGCCGGCAGCTGAAGGAGGAGAAAAAAAGCATCCTGCACAGTGCCCTGACAAACGGTGGGACCGAACTGGAGGCACTCAGGAAGGAGGAGTTTGTGATTCTGAATTCTGATCTAGGTGTGAATGCGACAGACAACAGCACAGACAGACACACACAGTTATGACTGCTCACAAGCAGAAGAGACTCAACATTTGTTTTATGCTCATCACTGGAAAAGTACATCCAAAGTATGTACCAACCAATGCACACACACATATATATTTATATATATACTTATGAAAGATTTGCAGGGAATCACGTTTTGTTAAATCACTGGATGTAGACCATAAAAATCTATATTTGTACTGCTGAATGTGTGAAGATGTTGAGAATCTTGATGAAGTTTGACTCACCTGACGTATCTTTGGAATGTACTTTCTGACGTTTTTTTCTTTAACTTTCAATCCGGAAACAAGGCTCAGACTGGAAATATGACTGGGAAGTGGTGGCCACTAAAAAAAATAAAATAAAACAGTACAGTTTGTTTTAAACACCAGCATCTATTGAGCTGCCTTTGAAGATTATTATTTAAAAATAAAGATGGTTTATCTCTGTTAAAAGTGTTGTTAAACAAAATAGGTGAAATGGCCTAGAAATCCTACGCACAGGAGGCTTTTCTACAAATGTTCTATTTAGTTTTTACTTTTATTTCCTAGTCTGGACGTATTCCTGGGAGGTTTTGGAGGCTTTGCAGCTGGCGATGTCATGTTAAGTACACAGTATGTGCCTCATTCACTCAACAGTTACCTCTTTTCCAGCTGTCCTCCTGATTCACATGTGAAGATTTATCGATTTGAGTTTTAGAACATTTCAAGCTGCTGGTCATTAATCTTGAGTAGAGGTGGTGAAACTTTAAAAAGCCTTTGACCTTTTTTTTTTCTTTTTTTTAAAGTTCAATTTGATTTTATTGCAGCTTGTACTGTTTCCTTATGGTGTAAAAAAAAGTGGAATACACCGTCATCAAATTAAATTTTGTTTTGTTAAAATCTGCTCATAACTTTTTGATTGTATATCTACAATAAACACAGTTAGAGCTACAATCTAATTAAGCTGTAAGGAAAAAACAAAACACCAAATTAAACCTTTTTAAAGACTGTGTCCCTGTTCAGAATATAGTTCTGAGAACAATCTGTTAATTATTGTGTTTTATCGCAAAATATTTTGTGTTGCGTTTCTTGTTTATTAGTATGCTCTATGTAGAGTGTTTTTATGGGGGTGGGTGAACAGGGTAAGTGTTTCAAGTGGAACCATGGGGTGTATTTCTGTATGTTTTGCTCCTATATCTCCAGAGATTGTTGAATATGCTCTGTTAATTAGTAGTTTTGTGTGTTTCTCTTTGTGACCGTTGGTCCTTTGTGCCAAAACCATAAATCAATCTCTGCTCAGGTTTTACTCTCATTGTAAGCTTTTTTTCAATAATTAGAAAACTCTTTTTGATAAAGTGACAATTTCCTAAAGTAATTTCAGTAACTGTGAAATAATTGCTTTAAGATAGGC